TCTGATACGAATCCGCGCGCATACAGGGTCATGAAAAATCAAAATAGGTGGTCAGTTAATGTGTGGGGTGGAATACTGGGCCAATATTTAATTGGGCCCTATTTTTTTGGACATCTGAATGGTTTGATGTTTCTCCAGTTTCTAATAAACCATCTTTAAATATTATTAGAAGAAGTCCCTTTCAATATTAGAACCAACCAAGTTCGGCAATTTTTAAATGCCAACTTTCAAAACAGGTGGATTGGCAGAGATGGGTTTCAAAATTGCCCTCCCAGATCTCCGGACTTAACTCCACTTGCTTTCTTTTTGTGGGGGTACATAAAAGGAATACAAAAATGCAATAATATATAGGGTATTTCATTTAGAAAAACACAACTTTGATACTTTTAGGGCTTTTGGGACAGTCTGTACATTACAAAAATATTTTTTAAATGTGCACCCGATAGGCTTCTGTCGATTTATCAAATAATACTTTGCAAAAAACAAACGGGCTAGCCGCAAACGTCCGTGCCGTATAGCGTGAATAACCCTGTATAATTGAAAATTTCCTAAATTAGCAGGCTTTGTTTGCACCACTGAGTGTATCCGGAAGTGAGACACATGTGGGTGTAAAATTGTTAAATATTTGCTAATTAACTGGCGATGAGCCAAGTTTACTGATAATATCTTAGTTTCGTGAGGTCACGTTAGTTAACTATTGTATATTAAATAATCAAAAATTACTTTCATATGGCTGATATTGGAAAATTCTGCATTGTGGTCGGCTCATTTTCACATATCGCAACTGCAACTGCGCTTAATAAGCTGATGTGGTTCCGATCTCATTTTACGCCGCAATGTGTGAGTGTGGACATTTGCAAAAATTCTCGACTATAAGATGATCAATTAGTTTAACCCAATAATTTTCCAGGAAGCGTTTAATTATTGCGTGTATGAATACCCCATCATGCAACGATGGAGATGAACGTCTTTTTTGTACATCAGATTATTTTGTCCACTGAAGCAAAGGAAACTGAAATAAAAACACTTGGTTTAGCGGTAATTTTAACCGGAATTATTTAGTGTTGATTAACAAAAATTAAGCAAAAGTAATTGCCTAAAGCACTTTCAATAGGCAAAGTGTTTAAAGTGAGCTTCCTAATTTTATTTTGGACTACTGCTTTCCAATTATTTCACAGCGAATAATTTCACCAGTAATTAACATTTAATAACATGTGGCTGATTTGGAACCAAAGTCCGTTCATGAAAACAAATTTTTGAAACCCTCCCTTGATGGCTTCTGGCAGTGGAATTATTATAACAACGCGTCATTAACTGTCGTTTTATTTGATAAATTATTGTTTTTAGGGGATGAAATTTTGGCAGTAAATGGTCAAGTTTGCCACGACATTTCACACGCTGATGCAGTTTTGCTGTTTAAAAGCGTGAAAAGCGGACCAATCACCCTGCACATTTGTCGTCGAAAAAAGAGCAAAAACTCGTAAGTTGAGTGATTAGAGAAATTAGCGTAGATTTTTCAAGAATACTTTCTGTTTTCCAGGTGCAAAGCCAAATCCTGCAGCAACATTCCCAAACCGAGTTAGTTAGAAATCAGTGTTTTTTTCATTTAGAATATTCTTACGTGACTTACATGTAAACTGCCAAAAAATATTGTACGCATATTTGGAACTGAATATCATTTAAGATGTCTTAGCATGTAAATAGATGTATTATATATTAGTGGTATTATATTGTGTATTCCACTTGGGGTTTTATTTTGCTGTGTTGAGTGGTGTGAGTTAATGGGCATAGAAAGTTTAATGAGGGATGAAGCAAGGATGGTTCTCCACTAATCGGCACCGATGAGGGGGTAAAATCAAGCTCATTTCAGAAAAATGGTTGTCCGGAAAACAGAGGCGAAAGAGGGTGTATTAAATAAAATGCTGCAGGTTGTCGTCTAGCGGTATTGATTAGGGAAAATAGACGATAATGGGGATCTTGCGTCACAGACACAACCCCCAGTTTGTTGGTCGGCCAGGCTGGTCATATTGATTTTAAAAGGAAATCCCTGAATCCCTCCGAAATGACGAGTTGTCTGCGTCCGCGCTCAGAAACTCACAATGGCGCGAATACTTTCCACGTGTTTTTTGACGTGTGTCAATCGTAAATTTATTACACAAATCTTCAAAACACTGCCGGTCAAAAATAGAGCGAAAATCTGCTGCTCAAAGCTCCAATTCAAGGTAACAATTCCGGCTTTTCCTCCCGATTGCCCGGACATTTTGTGCCCGAAAACGACGTAGCGGTGGAATCAATTACGTTTTTTAAAGGCATAGAGAATTTTCATGAATTGTACCTATTGAGTGTGTGCGCAATGATCTCTATTAAAGGACGGTATAGTTCTTTTTTATGTTCTGTATATCTAATTAGAGTCCCAATGTAACTGCAACTCTCTCTAGTCGATCGAAACAGATTCGAATTCAATGTAGTGATAAATAAAAATGGATATTGAAAAATGGTGCAGGATTTGCTCAATCGAAGTTAACTGCGGGGTTTTTCTCTTTGGCGATGAAGCAAAACGGACATTTTTACACGCGAAAATTAGGAAATATCTCTGTGTCTCAGTAAGAACCATTTTTGTTTTCGTCGCTGTCAGCATAAAGGTCGACATGTTTTTATGGTGTTTCAGATTAGTTTAGATGACAAATTGCCAAAAATGATCTGTGAAGACTGTGTTTCGAAAATTGATGGATTTCATTCTTTTGTCACCATGGCATTGAAAAATCAGGAAAAAATGACGCGCTGTGTTTTATCTACTCCGGTTAGTCCTGAACCTACAAAAACCGAAAACGTCTCCCTACTCCACACGTATTTAACAACAGTAAGTAGAAACCATTCCTGCTCAGATTGGCTTTGGCACAACGCCCTAATCAACAACAATAAAGAATCAACAATTCAACCACTTCGCAAAACAGTAATTTAATTTAAATTATTCCTGCTTGAATATAGTGTTACAATTGTTCAAAGCAAAATGGTCACGCCATTTTATATTGCAATTTTCACCTAACAATACAACAAGTTTAATGGCAAAGCATAACCATTCCCTAATAGATTTATTACAGTTCATTCCTATTTTTTTCTTACTAGTCCGACACCCGTTTTGATCATCTTCTAATTGAAAATGTTTGTTAACAATAAGAACATTCTTTTGTTAAATTTCACGTCAGTTTCTCATTCGTCAGTTTCTCATTTTACTCTCACTGAACGCTTCTTCTCTCGAAATATGGCTGTATTTTCCAATCACGTTCTCAAGAGGAGCGCCAGAATTCTTTTGCATTTTGAATTTGGTCCTGACGTTTCGCTTTCACCAACGCCAAACGTCTCCAGAGGTCAATCATATTCAATTAATTGCAGAGCCCGGATGAAACCGACGATCAAAGCAATGAAAATGAAGAAATGGAAATGGAAATGCGAGTAGATCCAATGTCGATTTTGCAATGCTGCCTAGAAGAAAGTGAGCCTGAAAGTGAAACTGAACAAACTCTTCGAAACGAAGAACCAGAGCAAGAAGAGGAATCTGATCTGGATGAATCCCAGTCGGGTTCCCAAGAGAACGGATCGTCCGAAAGTGAGAACTCCGAAAACACTTGTATTATCTACTTGTGCTCGATCTGTAAACGGAGTTTTGCGACTAATTTCGCCCTGCAGGATCATATGTACATACATTCGGCAACGTACACCAAACGAGTTTTAAGCCTGAGTTTCAACAAAATCCAAGAAAATTTGGCTACAGTTTTTGTGAGTAGCGCAATAGAAGAAAAGAGAGAAGACTGCCAGGAATTGGAAGGACCAGCACATACTATTAATAAAGACATGCAGCTAATTGAAACTTTATATAAATGTCCGATTTGTGCCAAAGAAATCACGACCAAAGGAGCACTGAAAGTTCACTTGGAAACCCACAGACCCAAAGGTCAATATGGCTGCGATATATGTGGACGCGTGTAAGTAATCTGATTTTATAACTTTAAGCTTTCTCATAAAGTAGGATTTTTCGCAGGTTCAAAACCCAGTGCAATTTATTTCGACACAAAGACTACCATCAAGGTGTTCAGTTTCCCTGCGAAGTATGCGGCAGAGTTTATCCAACTAACAGTACTTTGAGGGCTCATTCCATTACTCACAGCGACTTACGGCCGCATAAGTGCCCATTGTGTGATAAAACTTTCAAGAGAAACCAAGACCTGAAGGTATTGAACAGCAGTAATAAACAATATCAAAATAATTGAATTCAATTTATATTTTTCAGTTCCACATTAATCAACATACAGGAGCAAGGCCATACCAATGCCCCTACTGCCCAAAGGCTTTTGCCAGCTCAGGAAATTGCTTTTCGCATCGAAAGCGCATGCATCCTGTTGAAGTTGAACGAGATAGAGAACGCGCAGCAAAAATTATGAGATAAGTTGAACTATACGCATTTTCAAAGGCAAAGTAGGATTATTTTCGTACTGGGTGACGTGAAAGTTAACCTACTGATTAATAAGTAAATACATGTGATTTTAAATAACCTTTCAACCTAGTAGTGGATATTATCCATAACATTTCAAGTCTGGTTGTTGATTGCATTCCCAATTGAGGAGTAGTGTGTGTATCTACGTATAAAATTACGCTCCTCTCATCATTTGATTTTTTTATGTCTGGGGTTTTCCTTCATTGTTTCCCATGCAGGCCAGTTGTTGCAAAATTACCTTTTATATGTTCATCAGTTGCTCACACATATTAATGTTATCTATCAGCGATTTAATTAAACATGAAAGTTGCTGATGATAACCTTCTCTGTTTTGGTTTTATGGCGACGCGTTCTAAAATATTCCACTTTCATTTGAAAAAACTTGTTATCGATTTGGTTAACCTCACATATTTAAGTCGAATTATTAGTAAAAAGTAGGCATGGGTAACTCAGTTAATTTTCTGCTGTTGCTGCTTTTCGCAAAAAAATTTCTAGAAACATAATTTACTCTACAAGTTCAGAGTTGTCACTTCAGTCGCAATTAAAAAAAAAACAAAACTAAAACTCTTGACTTTTTGTAACAAAAACAGAAAACTGTAACCCATATTTGCATATCTGAAACGGTACTTTCGAGACAAGCGAGAAGAAAATGTGTTTAGAACTGCACGAAATCTGTCCAAGTCCAAACTTATGTGAAATTAGCAAAGCACAGAGAGAGAAATACAAAAAATCCATAAAACTTCAGTTGATTGTCGGAAAGCTAAACTCAGTTCAAGCTAAAAGATGTACAGATTAGACATCATTCTTACCAGCTTTCTGCATGCTGGCGCCGTATCCCCCATTTTCTACCCATTAATCCTCAAGAAGTTCTACACTTTCACATACTACCGCACTTGCCATAAGGGCCACAATGATCCTATATTTTCCATCTAAGTATGCGATGATCGATCCAAAATGTCGTCCACTGTCGGACCTTCATACACTTTTGAAAAAAAACAGGCACCGAAGTACAGAATAAACATGATTATTTAATCACTTCCGCATTCGCTCTTTCGATGATTTATTGTTCTGCTCTTGCTTGACAGTCGATTTCAGTTTGTTTATTCTTGACATTTTTGTAAAAAGTGCCTGTTCGTACGGCAATATTTCCAAGGCAACTTTCACGTTCCAACTTAACGCAAGTTAATAACAACTAAACGAAAAACGCTCCAAAGGTTCTAACGAATTTGACTCAACTGCAGTGATTAATGCACAACGCCAAAACTAAAATTAATAACCGAATTAATTTTGTCTCTAAAAATATTGACTAAACAAAAAAACCGCTGAAACTATTCAACGAAGAAACCAACAAAATTTCAACTAATTAAAAATGTCCTTTAAAGTTCTGATTTCAATAATTATTCCGCCATCGGCGCAATTTGAGGTGCGGTGTAGTCAGGCGCGATGAGTTATAACTCGCCAACTCACAGAGCGGCATCAACGCAAAAGCGCAACTCAACACAGTGTTACCCAGGCCTAGGAAAAAGTCCTGGTTACTTTTTTTATAGGTAGTACGTAGTTGATTTGAATTTTTTTGTTGACGTGCATGAATTCCTACCTATATGTTCAAACCGCCTATTATCGGATGTACAATGTGGAACAGTGAGTTAACGAGAACTGATTCTTGTTCAAGCAACAGTGTAATAAGTAACTTAAATCCTTGTATTTCGACTGATAAATACGATCAGTATTAAATAGTTCTAAGTAGGTCATTATGTAAATAAAGATAATTGTTTATTTAATCAGCAGTATTATTTTAGTTTGGAAGTTTTTCCAAAGGTTGATAGAGACATAATGCCAAACATAATAAGTGTTAATATCTGTGACAATCGCTCCAAGGCATCTTTCGAGTTAATCTTAGTTACCATTTCGTAAAGCACTTGAATTGCGTTGAGGCATTGTTTATCTTAAGATAATGCGAGTAATTTGGGTAAGTTTATACAAACGAAACGAGTCGTGAAACATCTTCCAAAGTGTACCACATTCATGTGGTGAAAATTATTTCCATTTCTTCATTTCTGAGTAGAACATTCAATATTGAAGAAGGTAAGTACATGTACATATAGAGTGTAGTAATATTTACTGTTCAAACGCTTTAAGTTCTCAGTTGGATAAGATTTGTTTACTTTGCGTGTCATTGAATTAACTCAAAATGTGCTCATTAAGCATATATGCCTATTTTTGGCTGAATGTATAAATCTAGTAGTAAAGTAGGTAGGTATGTGAATCCCAAACGGCAGGATGCAATTTTCAACGAGCACTTCATTATACCTAGAAGACCTCGTGTTTTTTGGAGAAATCAAATTAACTTTATTAGTCTTTACTGTGCTATAGACCAACAATAACTAAAATTAACGTAAACGCAATATCGATATTCCATTTCCCCAAGTTCAATGGCTGTCATTCTACTGGGTGAACGTTATGATTAATTGAATTGCAACCATGACCTAAGCTGCAGCTTTTCGCATATGAAGCAGTTTTTGACCGGGAAATATCGGCAGGAAGTTGATTTTTTCATGGCCTCTGCTGCTAACGATGGCGTGGGCACATTTAGTCAAGTAGCATCATTGAAACAGGCATTGCTTTAAATTACGCGTTTTCGAAATTCTGTTATCACCCGCCCTTCCGTGACCTTTTAATTGCATTGATCGATACCTTCCTCATTCTATTCAAGCGGCACGTTTCAGCTTTATTGTTCGAGTAGTCTACAGATGGCCACACGTAGTGGTACGTAAACGGTGGCGCTAACGAATGCATTCAAAACGGTGCAACATTTTCAAAAATTATTCACAAAAAAACTGAGGCAATATGGCTGACAACAACGTGCGACAATTTGGCCAGAATGGCATCATTCAACCGCTCCTAACAGGTAAGTGTTTGTTATGCCTCTCTCAGATAAAATAGACGCACTATTCTTATTATGTACAATTTATTTCCTAAGGTTAACGTGTAATAAAATTAATCGTTACTGGTAGATTATTAATTAGTGTATGTAAACAACGCTGTAAACCACGTGTTGAATTAAATTTATTTACGTTTCTGTCTGTTTTAAGCAAACTTGGGTTTGAATTAAATTAATTTGTAATCAATTTATTATTTTTGTGTGTTGCGGAATTCTTCTTAAGACAAGTTGTGCCTGCGCAGCAAAATCAAAGCGCAATGTTTTACATTCTTCAAAGTAAAGACCCTTGGCAATTTGGACACGAGGAAGCACAAACAGCTCTGATGTGCCAGAAAAATTAGAAAAATCGACTATTTTATTACATTCTAGTCGTCTAAAAATAAAAATTAGGCTAAAACTGGGAAGATCCATAAATTGGAACACACTTTGTCAACGACCCGAATACTACATTTACCGCAGCTATTACAGGATGATCCCGCTTTAAAAATCTGCCGAACGGCAACTTAATCTTAATTGTTACAAATTGGCCGTAGTGATGACGCAAACGTGCAGTCATCTTTAATTGAATTCATAAGTTACGTCATTAGCTTATCTGACCTTCATTTAGGAAGTAAATAAATGAGTACAAATAGAGAGGAAAATTTCAAATCAATCGGCGATAAACAAAAATTTGTAATTACATTTAGGAATGTTTTCCGGGCTTTGAAGCCGTGGTCTATCGGAATTTCTTCCTGACGTTTCGTCCACAACTGCGGTGGACATTTTCAA